CTAGGCAGGGGGCATGGCCTCTCTTCACCCAAGATCACCAGCCAGGCCATTTCCCCAAGGGGTCTCATAAACCCTATGCTCCAGCCTACACTACATCAAAAGGCCCAGCAGGCTTTCTATTCCAGAAAAAGTAGAGGGTCCCTCCTCATTCAGTCTTCCAGTAGCTCCCCCAAATGCAACCCATTTTGTTCCTCATGGCCCTCTGCAATCTTGCCCCTCCCCTCCCTTCTAACACCGCCCCCCCACCTCACACACACCCTGCACTACACCGAGCGTCACCAGAGGTGGCCTGGGCTTCCCCTACCAGTTCCTTGCAGAATTCCATTCTTGTCATCCATTTAAGCTCTACCATCCTCCAGAAAGAACACCCCCTGCCCTCTGAGCCCCTCCCAGAACTGTTCCCTGGCCGTCTGAGCCACCACCACCCTGATCCTCACTTCAGTCAACCACCCCTCCCACCAGACATGAGCTCCTTGAGGGCAGGGATGCTGTGGCATCCGCCACCGTTAAATCACAGGGCCTGACACATAATTAGTCCGCAGGCTCCAAACCTGAATGGCACTCCCAGAATAGGGGCAGGCCACGAAATATGCAAACCTCTAAACAGGACGCAGCCAAGTCAAAAGTGCCCACGAGTCATCCGCCTGAACGTCGAGCCAAGCTGTGGCAAATACTGCCTAATGGGAGACCTTATACTAGGAAATCGCAGAACCAGCTTGAGTTGCCGCCTGGGCCTGTGCTCCGTGCGTGGACAGCCCAGGCTAGGAACAACTTCTTACGTGAGAACACGGAGTGGCAGAGACATTGGGCAGAAAGTGCTTTGGGGCCTAGTCCTCGCATGGGTCGGGCAGCAAAGGGGTGGGAGGGAGACGTCAGAGTGTCCCTGGGGTGCAGATGGGCTCAGATTTCTCCCCTGGTGCCCCCCACCACTCTACGCAAGCCTCTCCTTCTGGAAGGAGCACGTTTTATAAAGCATCTGAGGGGGTCAGTCTTCCCGTCCAACCCTGCTGATATACCAAAAACCCTCTCTGAGAATGCGGGGCCCGGCCTGACCAGCCTCATTAGCTAATGAGTTAGGTTATTGTTTGTTAATCTAAACTCACTGCCATCACCAGGTATATCTCATAAACACTTGGTTACTTAACACATTCAAATCGAAATAAAAACTTCAATTACACTGCACATTCACTACTACCATTTAGGGTCTTAAAAAAGGAAAAAAAAAAAGAGAGAGAGAGAGAGAAACAAGGAGCTGTCTCTAAGAAGGGCCTCCTACAGGGCAAACTTCTAATTAAACAAATTGTCAATTTCAACACAATGAAAACTGATTTAGGAGTGTAAATTTAGTATTCCAGTCACTGAAAATAAAACCTCACATAGTCGATCTCATACAGGCGGATTTCCTCGGACAGGGAGACACAGGAGAGGGGAAGACGGGCGAGGACGGGGGCCGCTGCAGCGGGGGATGGGCAGGGGCTCGTCATCCTTCCTGACTAGCATCCCCGCAGCACTCAGTGCGGCCTGTTCTCAAGTGCCATCCTTGGGAGAAGCTCTGTCCTTGCCTCCTTCTTCCCCCCACCCCTCTCGGGTTAGAAAAAAATTAATGGTGTATGATGACAAACTTGGCTGGGCACTCACTGTACACACTGTACCCACAAGGCTGGCTTCCCGCCAGGCCTGGCCCAGCGCCAGAGCTACAATAACACACACAGGCGGTGCTCGCCAGGGGGGTGCAGGCAGCTAGCAGGCCCGGCGAGCGAGGAAGTGAGCGGGAGCGGGCAGCAGGAATGTGCCCGTGCGAGGGCGGCGCGCGGGGAGGCCAGGAGCCCCCAGCCCCACTTCTCCAGGCGGCCCCCTTTCCCAACGTGGTCCCCGGGGGCTCCGGAGCAACCCCCATTCTTCCAGGCTCTGCACAGCTGCTCCAGCCCTGGGTGAGCTTCTGTGAAGTGGGTCTGCACGACGGGTCCTTGGGGCCACTCCGGCCATCAGCTCCCCCAACGAAGCCTCCAGAACGGAGCAGCAAGAAACTCTCAGGACGTGGGGTCAACGTGCCCTCTGAGACACCCCGGCTCTGCTCCCACGTGGCTGGGGGAGGAGTCAGGCTTGGAAAACCCAACCTCTCTGCTGGTGGCAGAGGGAAGACCTGGCCCCACCAGGCCGGTTCTCCGCCCGACGCCGCAACGAGGCCAGGCCTCCCTGGGGGCCCCGGGGCCTTCTGGTGTGGGGCGGGGGGGCATGCCATTCAGGATGGGGCCTGGCTTTCAAGACGCCCCAGCACGGGGGTGAGAGGTAGGTGGGATAAAGGGAAGAGCAGAGAACAGAAATGTCAGAGCCTAAGCGGACCGGGCACTATCCTCAAAGGTGAATGAAAGCATTTCATGGCCCTTACTCCTCCTCCACCCCCAAATTCTCCTTCACGAGAATTGGGGCTCTGGCAAATGAGGGGCAGAGGCAGAAATCACGGCCCCACCAGAAGTCAGCGCTGGTGAGACGGCGTGCACAGGAGGGCCCCGGCGACAGGGCCCAGCTCCCGACCTGCCGGCGCCCGTGTGCAGGACCCCGGGGCCTCGACATGGCTTCTCAGTCGGGATGGGTGTGCAGCCGCACAGGGGTGCTGCAGTTACTCCTCTTGTCTGAACTGGAGGCTCTGGGCACCCCTCAAACGTGAGCGCAGCCCCTCCCTCTCTGCTGTCCCACTAACCCCGCTAAGGGTGCTTCACAGGGTAGACAGTGGCTAACTTGCACTGGGCCAGGGTTGGGGGGCTCCTGGGTCTTCACAGCTCCTGTTGCAGGAGAGAGCCGGCTGGGAGTCACTCCCGGGCCTTGGCTGCACCCACACGGTCACCTAGTGTCCAAGGACTCCAGTAACACACCTACCATATGCCAGACACAGGAGAACACACACTCCCCAAATAGTTCAGTCTGTTAGAGGGATGCTTCCTGAGAGCCCACTGTGTGGGGGGCACAGTGATACGGGTCTGGTGGGGGCCCCACCAAGCTGAGGCAGGGCTAGGGCCTCTCATCACAGACGAGGTATAGAGGCTCAGGGAGCTCACGTTTCTTGCCCACGTTCACATGGTAGGAGGTAGGTGCCTAAATTTCTAACCCTGACCGCCAAGTAGGGGAGAGAAGGCACGTCCCTAGCTAACTGTGACACTAAGAAGAAAGATTGTGCCCAAAGGAGCTTCAGATAAAGAAACAGGGACACCGGGAGAAAGCACAATTCTTCCAACCGGAGCTGGGAGGTGTGAGGATGGCACTGAGGGAGCTCTGGGAAGCCTGGGAAGGGCTCATCCAAGTAGAAGAACGGGGTGAAGAGACACGGGGCGCACGAAGCAAGCTGTGCTGGTTTGCGCATCGAGCAGGGCGACAAGCAGGCGTGTGTGCTGCAGAGCTGCCCTCCGGACCGGGGACGAGCAAGGAGAAAGGATGCCAACAGGTTGCACTGCGTGCGGGAGAGGGAGCCTCGGCCACGGCTCAACAGCACACTGCCTGCCTGGACGCCCCAGCCGCCCGGCCAGAGGCCCTGAGCCAGGAGCAAATGAAACAGAAGACCCACCTTCCACTCCTCAGGGGAGCCCACCCTGAACCCCCAACAACCCACAAAACTGAAAGGGTAGCAAGAAGGTTACAAGGTGCAAGGTAAACACAGGACAAAAGGAGCACGTGAGCCCCGAGCCGGGCCGTGCAGGGAACGCCTGGCACGGACTCCCAGCCAGCACGGGGCAGGTGGGCAGGGCAAGGATGGTTCAGCTGAGACAGACACCTGGTAGGGCCCAACCCCTGGGTCTGGCAGGGAGCGCGGGCAGTGAGAAGGGGTCGGGACACTCTAGGAAGGGCTGGCAGGCCACGGGAAAGGCAGCGTCCACCGCGGAGCACACAGGCTCTGCAGCAGGACAGCAGCAGGCCACCAAATGGCATGCACAGCCTGTACCGGTGATGGGCGGGCGCCCTGCAGACAGCCAGCCAGACAGAAGGCTTCTGGGGCAAGGTGGTGGGAACATGCCCCAGGGCGACAGCTTCAGAACCAGGGAAAGGGAGGAAGGTGGACACCCAGCAACGGGCATTTATTGTAACGCACCGACCGAGTACCAGAGCGTGCACTGCACATGCCTGCAACATAGACTGTCACCTAATCCTCAAAAGATACGCTGTGAGTCAGCAATGCCTGCGCTTTACAGGCAGAGAAGCGGGTTCAGAGACAGATCTGCCCAAGGTCACATGGCTAGCACATCACAGACCAGGCTCAAGCCCCATCACCTGCCCAACCCCCAAGCCCATGGCCATTTCACGGACGCTGGAGGGCCAGGTGCTGGCAGTAAGTGGGGAAGAGCAGGCCCCCTCCTCTCCCCCAAACATGCCTCCAAAGCTGGAAACTTGAGGAGTTAGAGGGGAGCAAGTGCCAGCCCTGGCAGGGACGTGGGGGGCTGCCATAACTGGGCCGGGTAGCCTCCTGGCCTGGAAGCAGCAGCCTCAGACCTGGTGTATCCCTCCCGCCACCAAGAGTGTCCAGGCACGCAGATGCCAGGTGCCTCTCCCCTCCCACGTCTGCAGGGCTGACCGCTTTGCCCAAACACACCGGAGGCCGCATGGTCGACCCCACAGGAACTGCATAAAATTAACTTGCAAGAGACGGCTGTGTAACTTGCTTTGGGCTCCAACCTTTCTGTATCTATTTAATTAAAGGCTCCTGTACAATGTGAACCCAATAGTCAGATTCATTAGACAGCGAGAACCTAACTCCACAACTGTTTTGCTAATGAGGCTGTGGTCCACTCTGGAAGGCAGATGACACCGGGCACTGGGTGCCACGCACGCCTGGGAGCCCAGCCTGTCACGAGGGCGGGTCCCCCCAGACAGTCACACTGTTGGGGTGGCCTCCCTGCTCCGTGAACCTGGGGGGAGCACCGTGGGGTCAGGGCTGGAGGCAGGGACGCCCACATTCTGAGTGGGGACGGGAGTGGGCAGGATGAACGGGCCGGTCGGGCAGCCTCGCCTACCTGAGTGGGCCAGTAAGTGCATTCGCAGCCGCAGGCTATCCAGGAACCGCTTTCCGCAGAGCTCACAGCCATACGTCTTCACCCCACTGTGCAGCTTCCTGTGGGGAAATGAAAAGACACGTTGCTGCCTCTCCAGCTGGACGTAAGACGGGCCCCCCTGCGCCTGGGGGCTCGTGGCAACCCCGCTGCGGGTAACGGGGGGAGGGAGGCAGACACTACCTGAGACAGGCACCCACGGAGACACCCCCCTGGTGCCCCTTTCCCGTGGCTGCTACCAAGGAAACATCTACTCCTGTTCCTACCCCAAGGGCTGGGGACTGACCGCTTCCTGCCACTTTATTCCCTGGCGCCCAGACGAAGAAAGATCAGGTCCAGCTTCTGAGGCAGGGGAAGTGGCACGGGGTTGGTCAGACAGACGTAAAGCCCCTGCTGGACTGGCACAGGCCTTACACGGGGGCCACAGCACGGTCCCGCTGCTCGGCAGCTGTGCGCACCTGGCTCCCTGCGAGACCGCGAGCTCAGAAGGGCTGCACGGCACCCCGCCCACCTCACGGCCGCCCCCACCACCGTGGGGTTACGGGGGTACCAGGAGGCTCTGAAAAAGCTTGTTAATGAGCTGGTTCCCTTGTGGACAGCAGCTGTCTCTCTCCCGGGGCACCAGACAGTCTTGGGACTGTGACTCCTCAGCACACATGCCCTTCCCCTGAGGCCCAGCCCCACGTCTCCCCGCCAGTTCTGGACAGAGGGTGAGCCCCGGACAGAAAGGCTTCCAGAAACTGGGTAACACCCTTCTGCAGAGGTGAGGTGGCAGCCACCCTCCTGCTTTCCCACGCACACTCCCCACACATTCTGTGAGGCGGGCCTGGCACATACGGCCACCCAGGGAGACACAGGCCCGGTCACCACAGGTCCCACGCCCACCCCTCAGGCCCCACCCAGATGTTTCCCACGGAGTCCGTCGCTCAGGCATGAGTTGGCAGAGGAGCCGGCCGGGCGCAGGAAGCAGGGCCTGCGGGCAGCTGAGCCCCGGCCATGGCTCTGGGTGGCTGGTTGCACATGGGCCACCAGCTGAGACATGGTCCTTCCTCCTACCTGCACGCCTGTGCTCAGGCCCTTACTTCCTGCTCTGGTCCCGCTCCGGAACCGTCTCTGCCCCTGGCTGCACCCTGCCCACCGCCGCCCCTGGGGCCCCAGCCATGAGGGTAGAGAGGGGACGGCAGGCAGAGGCGGAAGCTGCTGAGGGCCGGGCAGGTGCCCCAGAGCCAGCAGTGTGCTGTGGGAGATGACAATGCAGAGACCAGAGGGGAAGGCCGGAGGGCGGTGGGCACTGAAGCTGGTAAGACCACAGGCAGGGGAAGGGGGTGCCATACAGTCAGACAGAAGGCGCCCAGACCCGAGTCTACCACCCAGATTGTGGAACCGGGCCCAGCCGCCCACCGCCCTCCAGATCCCAGTGGCGCAAAACCACGCAGGCCCCCGGGGGCCTGCTCAGTGCCGTGGTGCATAGGCCGCGGGGTCTGGACACAGGGCCTTCTGACGGCAGCCAGGCCCAGTTCCCTTCACAGAACTCTTTCTCAATCACCCCGCTGTTTGCTCGCTGTCCCTTTACCCCTTTGCCAAAGGCAATACCGTTTCCCAATCACACACCTCCTCCTCCGTGACATGCGCGCTCCCACCCCCACGGCATCCTACTCCTGGCCAAGCCTGATCCGTCCCCATTGAGAAATAGTAACAACACGGGACATTTTAACTGAACATTCTTGACTCTAAATATATTTCACAACAGTGGGCAGTGGGACATGTCCTAATAGCATTCTGGGCACACCATGTTTTCATGTGTGCCCAGGCATCTGAGTGTGTGTGCCTGTGAGCATGTGCTGCACGAGTGTGCATGCATATGAGCACACATGTGCACACGAGTTGTGTGTATGTGTGCTGCCTGCGCACATGATAGCTGCGTATTCCTGCCACTTGCACAGGCATGGCAGACGTTCACCCTTCTAAGAAGGTCCACAGAGCAGCCAACGCCCTCTCGCGGTGGTCAGAGCTGAGCCTCTTGCCCACGCTCACAACCAGGTCTGGGGGGCAGGTGGCAGCAGGTGGGTTTTGGCCTTATTTTATCCTTTTCTTCACTAGTGGTTCCTCAGCTTCCAGGGGTGCTCAGTGCCCACCTCTCAGTCATGGATGTCAAGAGGATCCGGAGCACAAACCCTGCAGTCCGGTTTGTTTTCCCCAAGGACCCTGGCGTGAGCGGTGGTGCGGGCTTCAGCAGCCGCCGCCAAAACCAGCATCTCCAGCCCCGCCATGGGACTCCCGTTTCTTCTCCCTGCAGGTTCCAGTTCAACGCTCTCGTCCTGACGAACACTATCTGGGGAGCCCCACTGACCTTTTTCTAGATGCAAATGGATTTGCCTGGCAATTGCTGGAAGTGGCTTTTGGCCCCCTGGACTGGCAGGGTGTGAGAGGTGACCCTTCTTTCCCTTTCGCTGCAGAGATGATGGGGTACAGGGGAGAGTGCCAGGCAAGCGGCCAGAGGCCTGGACCCCAGCCCCACCTGGCCGTTCAGTCACTTCATGACCCTCAGCTGATGATTCACTCCTAATCTCACTGCAGTTTTCCACCTGCAGAGGCGTGTGGGTGATGTCTTAGGTTTTGGTCTCTTATGGAACCTCAATGTTATTATTCAAAAGTCTTACTCATATCCTTGTACCTGGCATCCAAGGAATTCCTCTAAGGGCACTGTTCTCTCTGAGCCACGGCCCACTGTGTGATGTCCCAGGACACCTACAGTCAGGTTAGGGTGGCCCTCATGAAAACCAACACCCGGTACCAGAAATCTGCTCACTCTAAAACCTTCCAATCCGACGACCTGGGCTCCGTCCCTCCCCTGCCATCAGCCCTTCCCTGGAACCCATCTGCAGCCGTGCGTTTCCCAGCCTGCAGAGACGCAGAGGCCCTACATCAGCCCGTCCTGGGGCTAGGGAAGCTGCCCTGCACCTGACGCACTAACTCAGTGCCCCAGACAGGTGACCAGGGGTGCACGGGGCATCCATGTGATCCCAAATATAGTACAGGGACAAAGGTTGTGCCCCACTGGCACATGGAGCAGGGCAAGCGCTTCACAGGCCAGCGCCACTGTGCTCACTTCCCATTAGCACGCAGACACCAAGGGAAGAAAGTATAAAGGTGGAGGCGTCTCCTAATTCAAAGAACAAAGAGATGGTGGAGAAGTGAGTGCCTCCGAGGGACCTGGCCACAGCAGCCTCTCGGGCAGCCTGGCCAAGGAGGACATAGAATTCTGGCTGTTGTCCACAGCAGCAGCGCATGTTCGCATGAACCTGCGGCCTGTTCATCGCGCGCTGGACCACAAGCCCCCCACTGCTACCACCACATGACCCAACCGCGATGAGTTCTGATTAGAATGGAAATGCTGCACACCCCTCCTCCCTCACCACTCACTCTCACATTTCCCAGCCTGCCCCTGCCTTTCACAGGCTCTGGCTGCTTGTGGCCATCTGAGGTCACCAGCCTCTACTGTGACACAGGAAAGGAGGACAGCGGGGACATCTCTGACCTTTCTGCATCCTGCCTTGGTGTTCACACTCCCTTACCCGCACACCCTTCTGAAAGTGACCCAGTTCTGCCATGGCCCAAGCACCTCTATTCTGTATCCCAGCCCACCTCTCCACAGGCTGAGGCCCCCACCACCCGGCCTCAGGGTGCAGGCTCTCCCCCACGGCAGGGCTGCCCACCCCACGTCACAACTGGCCCATTGGCTAACCTCCTCTTGACTGTAATAGATCCTTACTGTGTCCAAAAAGACCAAGAAAAAAATGAACCGTGAACAGGTTTCTGGCGATTTTCAAGAGATCTGAATCATTATGAGAAATTAGTGCTAAGCAAACTGAACCGTTTTGCAAGTAATGAGAGAGAAGGCCTTCCCACTCACCGATCCTCAACCACGCTGTCCCCCTGGTCGCACCGCGCTAGCACGGTACACACTCACCCAAACCGTTCCTGTGCTGTGAGCCTGCACACATGTACAGATCCTGTCTGCTTTAGAACTGCGAACCACGTCAACGGCAGAAGCCATGCTTATTGCTCCCTTTCTTCATTGGGCCTAGTTTAGGAGGGCCTGCCAAAGAAACCTCTGTGTCTAAGGGGCTGAGGGTGTCCAGGCATCTTTCCTCTTATCCTAACAGTAGTCCAAGCACAAGAACTTCACGGGCAACCTCCAGCCCAGTGCCGGACCCACCCCGTGGCTCCTGGAGTCCACAAGGCAAGGCCAGTGCCCTTCACAGCCACATCGTCCAGCCTGCACTCCAGACAGCCTCTGTCCTTAGGAGAGGCCTTCATCCCCCGGCCCGCCCAGAACAAGAGCAGAGTAGACTCAGCAAGGAGACCCGTGCTGAGTTCCACCCTCAGCCTGCACACAACGGCTCCAAAAGGCACTTCCCTGCCTGCCTCTGCAGGAGCAGCTCAGCCCGCCTGCACGGCACACAGCCCGGGACCAAGGGCTCGCCTGGGGGAGGGGGTCCCGACCCAGGCCCGGCGCTGCCCGTGCCCCGATTCCTCCCCAGTCCCTCTGCCCAGGGGCAAAGCAGTCAGAGCAGACCAAGAGGCAGGAAGGCCTAGAGGAGTTTTGTTCCAATAAGCCAAGGATTGTACCCCTTCCCTCTCCTCTTGGGACCTGACAGTACCAACTGTGGGCTGTGCTGGGCAGACCAGCTCTGAGAACTGGGACCCAGCAGTGGAGGTGAGAAGGGACACTCCAGGGCTGGACTGCCACCTTGGGAGGAGGAGACATATTGGGGACTCCATCCTATCGGGCTTTTACAAACTGACACCCCCTTGCTGTCAGCTAGCTGACTCCACCTCCTGAACCCACATCCAGCACCAACCGGGGGGGTCTCTGGTGGCCTCTGCACCTCGCCCTCCCCTTGGTCTGAGCTGTTCCTGCAGGGGGGCACCCGATGCCTGGGGCTTTTGTCCTCTGACCCAGTGCCCATCTACGTGAGGCCTCGGTGCTTCTCAGGGGCACTCAGAACAGACAGGGACGAGAGGACATTGTGTGAGTCGGAGCCACACCACAGTGCAA